CTAAGACACATTAAGTTGATTTGATGCTGCAGTTTGCCTTGTAATGTTATTTTATATCTTTTCTGCTACTTTTGCATTTTTATTAGTTTTTTAGGAAACAAGATCTTTCCTACAAAAACCAGAATGTGAATCTTTTCCAAACATTTCATGACGATATCTTGAACTCTGAGGAAGTTATGAGCAAAACAAGAAGGTGAAATGATCCCACGTTGGTTCTGCTCTGAACTYCAGCGAGAAAACATCGATAACTTCCCTCAGACTTCAGATCATCACATGATTCTGGTGTTATTTTGTAGTTTTTGATGTTCTTTTAATCTGCTGTCAGATTGATGTGGGATTAAACAAGTATCCACATCCCMACAACACTTGTMTTTTTGTTTTTGTTTGTGTAGGACGAGCCGTCTCAGTGGGACACGTCCTCTCCTCACACCACCAGGTCCCTCCTGTCCAGACACGTCTTCTCCTCGCTGCCGTCCTCTCAGGGTCTGCTGTCCTCTCAGGGTCTGCTGTCCTCTCAGGGTCTGCCGTCCTCTCAGGGTCTGCTGTCCTCTCAGGGTCTGCTGTCCTCTCAGGGTCTGCTGTCCTCTCAGGGTCTGCCGTCCTCTCAGGGTCTGCTGTCCTCTCAGGGTCTGCCGTCCTCTCAGGGACGATGGGGGACGTCTCAGTCGTCTCAGCCTCAGAAGAAAAAACCTCGCATGGGATTCTGAAGGATCGGAGTCGACTGTTTGTTTGGTTTCACTGGACTGGAGACAGGAAGTGGGTCTGGACCTGAAGCAGGTCTGGATCTGGAGGATCTGGAGTCCCTGCAGGTCAGAGTGGTTCCTTCCTCTCGTGTTTGATGTTCAGCAGCTTGTTTCACATCCTTTGAAGTTTTTCTGGAGTTTTTCATATTTTTACAGATAAAATCTTATTTTTTTCTAGTAAAATATTTTGGGTTTTTTTTTTTTACTTTTCTATTTGTTTTTGTAGAAAAAGGCAGAAACTGAAGTGCTGTGAATAAAACGAGTGGACCTTTGATCTCAGATTTAGTTTTGTTTGTTTTCTGATCATGTTGCAGGTCAGAGCGTATCGATCCTAAAGTTTATTTAGTTGATATTTTATTTGCAGCTCATTTCTTTGTTCCAAAAATAAAAAGCTTCACCGGAGCATCCGGTCAGAGGCAGGTTCAGATATAAACACTGAACCAAACAAACATCAGATAATTATTTATCAGCTCTGATTAAACAACTTCAGGTTCAACGTGCTAAAAGTAGCATCCATGCTAACCGCTACGACGACGTGTCCTCATCTCCTTCCAGGTGAAGATGTTTGATGTTGGGGACCGTGGTTCTGTTGGACCAAACTGGCTGATCTGAGGATTAGTTAGTCGTCCCCTTCAGCACCACAGCATGCTGCTGCCTCCACCGTGCCTGGCAGCTGCTTCTGCGCTCTTAAACCTTTAACTCAGCTTTTTGTTCGCTCCTCTAAAGCCTCATTTCCATCAACGTTCCAGAACCTCCTGTCCAGTGGTTCTGTTTCTTCAGGCTGGTGAAGCCACACAGGCAGGACGCCTGCATTCATCAACTAAACCTTTAAAAAAAGTTTAAATCATGTTAGGTCGTATTCAGACCTGATCATTTGCTGCGCTTTAAATGAACCAGAGTTAGTTTCCAGCGTTGGTCCGGACCTTTTCTGCAGGTGTGAATACACTCATGTGAACTCTGGTGCGGATCAAACAACCGGGCCGAGACCTGCTTTTTGAGGTGGTCTCGGTTCACTTCAGTTCACTTCTGGTGTGAATACAGACCGGACTCTAACTGAACCAACTGCATTAAACATGCACCTTTTTGGACCTCACAGGCCACCGTTCTGAGCTAAATAAACTGAAATCGTACCTGTTTCATCGTCTCCTGTTAGCAGCTCTGCTGCAGCATGTTGTGGGTCAGAACACGCAGAGCACCTCGTCTCCTTTGGGTCGCGGGACACATTTACTGACGCCGCTCCAAAATTAGAATATCATCACAGAACCACCATTAAATTAGCTGCTTCTGACATTTTAAATGCTGTTGCAGTTGTACTATCAGTAAAAATGTACACATCAGAACCACAACATGCAGGACTTCCTTGTTTTCTTCTGGGTCTGTGGCTCAGTCCCGCCCCCGTCCTTTTTTTTGTCCAATGGGAGCAATGATTGTCAGCCTCATGGCTTTGTTTACAAGTTATAGTTCGTTTGCAAAAAAGCACAGTGTGAATGCAAACCGCACCAAATGAAAAAAAAAGTCCATTTTTGGTCCGGACCAAACAAHTGGACCAAAGGACTTTCCTGGTCTGAATACACCCTTAAAGACTTCGGCTGATTTCTGCAGAAAACCAACCGGCTCAGTCTTCGTCTCATCTGACCATCAAACGTGTCTCCAGGAGGACGTTTGTCTCGTCCACAAGGACAGAGCAGCTCCAGGTCTTACTGGTTTACAGATGAAATTATACTTAAAATCAAGAAATTCATTTATTACCCGTCTGGACAAAAGAAATATTAAGAAAGTGCTTTAAAATATAAAAGTGATGCATTATTATTATTATTARAAAATGTGTTTTCCTGTTTTAAATTGTTTGTAAAATAAAACCGGTTCCTTCGGTTCTTTGAATTTAACCTCAGCTGGTTTGCTCCAGATGTTCTTAAATCAAACGACTGAAAGGAAAAACAATCAGACAAACGTTTAAAAATAGATTTTTTATAAGATTTTCTTCTTCAGATCTTGTGACAAAAACAATAAATAACTTAATATCTACAACAAACTATTAACAGCTTTTTTTTACATCATTTACAGTTTTACACATTTTTATATGAACATTTTTGTTTTTTTTCTCCACTCATTCAGCATTATTTAGTTTCAGACAACACTCGCTCTCTTTTACAAAACCTGTTGGATTTCAGCGACATCAGGTTGGCAACTTTCAAATAAAAATTAAATATAAAACCGGACTCTGAGGACTGGTTTGAAAACACTRGACAGGAAGTTGAACCAGAACAAACTGTGCAAAATAAACAAAGAGAAAGAAAAGCAGCGATCAGACACTGAAGGTTCCTAACAGTCAAACTTTCTTTGAGATAAACAAACAGTTTTTAGGCAGATTTTGTCGCAGTCTGTTCTGAGAATTATTATTATTATTATTAATAGAAGCACCTAACGGACCGCTGCAGGCCCGACTGAGTCTGCACATCCTGGAATGTCGTGTCTGCATGCACCAAACACGTCTACGGTTAGAAAAATATTAAATGATCTGAGTCTGAGCGCAGGACGGCTTGGCTGCCGGTTCTTGTGCGAGGAGTTTCCACCGGCGCCACGGCTTTCCCAAAAATAAATCAAAGAAAGGAAGAGGAGGGGCAGCGAAGTGGGTGTGGCTTCAGGCGGTCAGGTATGGGCGGAGCCTCTGCTGCAGGTGCAGCGGGAAGTAAGGACCCTCTGCGTCGCTGCCCAGAGAGCTGCTGAGAGACTCCTCCCCCGAACTCATCACGTCCTCGCTGGAGTCCTCGCTGCGGGGACAAGACAGGAAATCATTTAGGTTCTGTTTGACCCAGCTGGGTTTAACAACACAAAGCTAACAGTGTTAGCTGTTTCCACTAGTTTAATGCTAACAGTGTTAGCTGTGTCCACTAGTTTAATGCTAACAGTGTTAGCTGTTTCCACTAGTTTAATGCTAACAGTGTTAGCTGTGTCCACTAGTTTAATGCTAACAGTGTTAGCTGTGTCCACTAGTTTAATGCTAACAGTGTTAGCTGTTTCCACTAGTTTAACGCTAACAGTGTTAGCTGTTTCCACTAGTGTAATGCTAACAGTGTTAGCTGTTTCCACTAGAGTTTAATGCTAACAGTGTTAGCTGTTTCCACTAGTTTAATGCTAACAGTGTTAGCTGTTTCCACTCGAGTTTAATGCTAACAGTGTTAGCTGTTTCCACTAGAGTTTAATGCTAACAGTGTTAGCTGTTTCCACTAGTTTAATGCTAACAGTGTTAGCTGTTTCCACTAGAGT